GATTGTCCCATCTGGAATACAACGAAGGAAAAATAACAAAATTGCATGACACACAACCTTACATAATTCCCACAACTGTCAAATAACTGAATAAACTCCGTTAAAACGGTGCTGTTCAATTAAGACAAGATGTAGACAAGCGCCGTTTATTATACATCGTCAATTTTTAACTTAAACGTAACAAAATGAATAAAACAAGGTGAGTATATCCTAATATTACTACAGCCAAAACAAAACTATGCACCTTCAATCATGCATAACCAAGGAAAGCACATGAAGGGGTGTCACAAGAACATTTCTTCCTCCCGACTCATCTCCTTTAGTTCGACCATCCGATTTCGAACATCGTGAACAGATATTGGAGCAGGAGACATCAGATCTACGTTATCGTGAAGAAGCTTATCAGCAACATCTAAAGTTCGGCAGTCATTTAAGATTAAATCAATTGAAAGCTGTGCTGAACAGACCTCTGATTGTATTCGCTTTGTTTCCATAGCAATAGTGTGCTTTATAACCCAAATACGTTAAAGTGGGGAAGACTGGTAACAGGTGTAAGATGTTCCTGAGCAGAAGAGATTAGATTCATTTTTGTGCAGGCAAAATGATACTCACTTGTGGTGATAAGAAGACACCGCACAAAACACCATCATAATGCCTCCACCTGAAGCCGACCAATTCAGCTTCTCACGCTCTTCAGCGAACTGAAACAAATATCGGAATAACAAAAAAACCATCTCCTTCTATGAGCCACAAATTCCTAATGAATATCCTCTAACTGTCCTGAAGATGAAGGCATTCGATCTACATGATTCACATGAGGTCCGAATAAAGTCGTTATAGTTTAAATTTATACAAAGTATTTCTTAGCGCTGAGAAAAACAATGTACCTTGTATGCACGCCGACGTTGTTCGAGTAATTGAGCTATTGCCAACTGTCGCTCTATCTGAGATGAAAAGGGAACATTTCGAATGAAAGAATCACTTAGATTTTAGGAGTAAATAACCATATTCACAAAATCGAGAGTTATGGGCAGAATTAAGCAACTAGCATTTCAAAAAACGAATTTTAAAGATGGCTCACCCTAGTTTTCTCGAGTTCTGCATATAAATCCGAATGAACGTTCGACGACGCTGTAGAAAAAAAGCCTCCCATTGGCTCAGGAGTACAAGGGGGTACCTTCGCCGAGACAACGAAAAATGCTTACTGCAAGTGAATTAAGCTTGAGCTTAATACCACCCGTACTTTCAGAGCAGACGAGACTTCGACGAGAAATTTGTGCTTACTCTGTGATTGCACGCGGTGCTTTTTAGGCGACGCTAAGTATTACGGTGACGAGACCTGTGAATTTTCACACGTCGCTCTTCCATCACTTCGCTCTGTGTGGCATTCCTCTTCTGATATTTCGTTGCTGTTTAGTGGTAACCGTTTCGCAGTAAAGAGAAGATTCTATTTTTTTCTCTTCAGGCTTTACTTTTAAGGTTGGGGATTTCTGTTGAACGATGCGTTCAAGCGTACTGATAGCTGTTGTCACGTTTTTGTTCGTGCTGGAGACTTCAGCAGAGGTTAGCTTTTTCATTTATCGCTATTTCTTATATTACTCCGTCGTTTTTAATGTTTCTATCTAGTCTATAACATTGAAATACTAATATAACTATTATCTGTTAATATTATCTGTATTGGATCTGTTTCTATGCCTTGTTAAGAATTTTCGAGTTTTTTTTTTTTTAGTTTCATGAATTTCAAAATCTCAGTAGCACTCCAGACAACTAGGAAATGGAGGAAAAATGGCACGTAAAGTCAGGGTTTCTAAATTTCCTGTCTTCACCTATTATCGAAAAGAAACCGAGATTATCATATCAGCTAACTACGTGTAGGGCAGGGATCTAATTCATTTGATTCAAACAGATAGACAATTTAGAGAATAGTTTTAAAACAGTTCGCACAGATGTTTAAAAAGAGGTGGGGAGTTGAGAAATTTGGCGTCAACCTAATCGGTTCAACCGTCATATTTGAGTTCTGCTTTACGTATGCGCGCCCATGTGTTTTGTAGCGCTTACAGTAACATCGAAAGTTCAAGGTTTATGATAATAAGATGCGCTGCATATCCCGTGGAAGCGACGAATAGAACAATATTTACGTTACAACCCAAAATCCGTACGTTAAGAGTATTTCCCATTTGAAAAAGTATGGTTACTATCACAACCTAATGGAGAACTGTTAAGACTTCGCAATTATCATATGTATGCGGCTTTTTTTTTCGAATGCATTTGGGCGCGAAGCGTGTTGGTCCCCCATATGGCCTTACGATAAAGTCTTGAAGGACCTTTACCCATCTCAATGACGATATCATGCTAAAAACATGTTAGCGAAAATCATTTCGTTCTGATTACTGAGCGCATCATCAAGCCCCAAGAAGAAGTCCCTGCGGAAACGATTTTATTGAGTGGGGTTGTAATCGATGGTGAGTGAGAGTGGAAGGAATTAATAACACAATTATAATTTAAATATTTTTTCGGATCTTACTGAAAGCAACGTCAAGCACACAGTAGTAAAGGCTATTAAAATATTAATATTAAAATATTTAGTTTGAACACCCAACTTGGTTAGCTGATTCAGGCGAATTTCGAAGATACACGATGCCGATGTGTCTGTCCAAGTACGATGTACTTTGTATCGGAGAACCGCACCTGTCCAAGTACGATGTACTTTGTATCGGAGAACCGCACTGATCGGAATGATAATCATCGACGCTACTACACAATGACGAATATCAATCCTAGTAAATGGTAGGTTTGAGGTTGGCAGGGGATTTTTCGTGTTATATGATTAAGCCTGAAAGTGCTTATTTCAGTAATCCCCAGTCGGTTGTAAAAGGTGAAGTGATCAAGATTGTCGATGAGTGGCACATGGATGCGTTTCTGGCAAATTGTGATTGCCGATTTGAAAGCAGAAATACAGTTATGTTGAAGGTGAGCTCTGACTCATTTGCATCTATGTCATAGTTTTTTAAATGTAGTGGTTATAGAGGTTGATTAGCATTGAATGCTAAAAAAATCTTCCACACCCCGTTACATTCGATACCAGTTCATTTTTGCCGGCTCTTATAAAATGGATCGGAGGTTTGTAGTGGTAGAAGTGGGTGATCGCCTTTCTTAAGTAGTCCTTTGTTTCTTCTGATTACCGAGTTATTTTTCCTCAGATCACTCAAATTCATGCGTAAGTGGTTTTAACGTGGTGTCGTGACAGCTTCTTTGACGTTGGAAGTTGTTGACTGAGTTCAATTATGATGTTCAACAATTTTGGCGTTGATTAGCAGCCGAAGGGAGAGACTTCTTGCTGTTTTGAGCAACTATGACCTTAATTTTGTAATTTTTTAGATGTTTTCCACAAAAGAGTGCACTCATTGGTGGAGGGCTGGGTTAAGTAGCCGTTTTTTCCTCAAGAATTTGACCGCCATGTTGCTCCCTTTTTTCTTCTGGTGTTTAGACTGTGCTTTCGGTTTTAAAAAGCTATTTAGGTCGTGGTGATATTTGTGATCTGTGTAATAATGCTGCTTGTAACGTATATGGGTTTCCTAATGTGTCTGGATCCAGTACTTCGCAAACAAAGATTCAATCAGTCTTCATATCGACAACAAAACGATGAGGTACGAAGTTGAATGTTCTTCTGTGATTAAGAAATTGAACGATGTAAACAAAGACGATTTACAGTCCGGAGTCTAAACTCAATTTCGTTTCAGATGGAGGACAATATTTTCGCTCGAGCAGCTGACACTGCTCCATCTGAAGGTTCTACTGCCACAACAAGACGAGCAAGAACCAGCAGTAAATCAAGTAAGCAGCCTTCATGTACGACTTACCATAAATCATGACAGTTTATCGGAACAATCTAATGAGGCTACTCGACAAAATATTTCACATTGCAGATCCTTCAAAATCTGCTGATCATAGCACAACATAATTTCCTGAGTCTAATTCCTTTGATTGCTTTTGATTATGTTGTGATTAATTGATTTCAACGGATTTGTGGATGTTGAGATGTTCGATCGGGTAACCGATTCCAGTCGATTCCATCTTCTAGGTTTTGAACAAGGCAGAATTGCCGAACTGTAATTCATTTAAGACTATCGAGGTCGTGGGGTAAACTAATTTCAACAAACGGTGTCACTATTTTTTGGTTGCAGACATAGCTTGCAGTTAGCTTTGATTTCGTTCAAAGAACCGATTGAGTGTTTATAGAAGTGTCCTGTCCTGCTAGCAATCAGAATGTGTAGGGAGCTCCCTAAATTTGCTATTCACTCAATTTACTTTATGCTGGGAAGGATTTCTCATGTGACACTTTAAGTCAGATGTTAACGATGACGAATTTCTCTTTTATTCATTTCAGACGTTCTCGGACGTGTCGAAGCCGAACAGAACCGGTGGATGAAGAAAGTGGAGGAACAGAGAAGAAATATTTTTGAAGATCATACAATGTTAAATTGAGCTTTACATTCGGTCTTCTCAGCTATTTTGTTTCCTTTTTGAAAGGGAATGGTGTTTCTCAATTATGCGATGCCTGATAGAAACACTGAGTTCACTTTGTTCAACAAAGTAAACCAGAGCCTAGTGAAGCGGTCCCAAAGGGTGCGTCTCTCGATCAAAACCACAAAACCAATTCTTCCGATACATACTCTCTGTTTTAGAAATAGTTCAAATGTGTTGATTTTGAAGGATTTTCGTGCTGGTGTTGGCTTCTTGTCTTGCCGATGATTTCTAAATAGAAAAGCACTTGTTATCTGTTAAATCTGCAGTGCGCGTTCTATATTCGTACATTATGGCCAACGACTTTTGGGATCCCATGTGAACTACTAGCATTCCCGATTACCGAAGTATTATATTTGCGATTCTGTCTGGAGGGTTGCTTTCTCTTCCTCTTCCGACGCAACATTTCCGTTACATTCGACTACAACAGTCCTATTGTGTAAAAAACACGGCTGTTAGACATTTCGGTTCATTTGCAATGTGAAATGCCGCTTATCTTTGAACTGGGGCAAGGTTAATCCGTTAATTCAGATCGCGCCAAAAACAGTCAGTAATCGTAAGGCTGGATTGATATTTGTGATTAGCGGCGTCAGCTTCTCTTAAATAAAGCTTCAGGGAACAACATATTTCGCTCTCCAGCTTTCTATCTGTACATTTTCTGATACTTCTGCTTTTTTCCGACATAGTTCTTCCGAATTTGGGCTTAATTTTATTGTACATATAGAGTTTATAATAAAGATGCTGAAATATCCAGCTGGTTTAATCGAAGGATTCTCCAAAGATTTATGCTACCTGAGTGCAGTTGAAATAGTTCATTATCCAAAGTAAGGTACGTATCTACCTACTTGGTTATTGATTATCTTCTAATCAAACAAACCTTCCAAACCGATTGGTTCCGTCTGAAGGGCGTCGTTTCTGGCTAGACAATATTTGCAGATATTATTTGCTTGTCTATGTCAACACTAAACATGAAGCCTCACCTTTCATCAGCTTGCATCTCGAAGCACTTTCGATGCTCGGAAAATTCTTTAAACGTGTAAGTTCCTCTTTTTTCTTGGTTTGTCCTGTAAGGTACATAGTTTTTGTCTACTCTGCTTTTTCTTTTATTAGCTGGCATTATATTTATGAAGTCGACGGTCAGTCACTTTCATCTTGATGGACTAATAATATGGTTTTTATTGACTTTTCCATCGCATGCCTTGCTAATGCAAATATTTTCATAGAAAATCGCACTAGCGGTTCTATAATAGTCGTTTATGGAGGCCAGTCTATTTTTGCACCTCATTGTTGCCGTTTGCATGAGGCCTTGTTTTTTCTATTTTATTTTTGTTTTATTTTATTTTCGTTTCACGGGCAGAGTTGGTTAGTAAATGGGTTTTTTTTGTTTTTTCAAGCGTTCGAACCTTTCAGCCTAATTGATCTCAAAATCTTGACTTATTCCCAACGAGAAGCTTTAGATCTGGTTTCGATTGAAATTGCTGTTACAAAACTTTTTCTGCAACTTTCCCAATTAGTTCCCTTGAAGTTCCTAGCACATTACCGCGTTAATGGGCTAATTTATGATCCAGCCTGCATTGCTTGTGCGGTTTTTACTGTTATTTTATTGTTCCGCGAGTGACCCTGGAAGTTACTCAATTTATGATTCTCTTTATCGTATTTCCGGTTCTGTTTTCTTCTTTTCCCGCTTTGCGTTCTTTCCATTTACTGCCTTTGTAGATGGGCCGCAAAGGAAGTGTTTTTTGGCTAAGTTAGAAGTGAATCGGGAGAGCTGGTACCCGCAAGATGCTTGTAACAGATAGCCTTTGCTTAACTTCCGAGGAAAAGATATCAATAGCTTTCTCAGAGTATTGGTTTTTTTTATTTGTTTTGCTCTGCTCATTTTTGTTGTTGATAAAATGCTCGTTAGTAACTGCAGTGACAATTCAAGGACGGGCCATAGTAAGGTATATCGAGAACTGTTTGTATGTCCTTTCCCACAATAACTTAAACGTTGTGCGGCCCGTTCATGTTCGTTACGGTACTGTTATTACTTTGTTTATATCTGCTGGCGCGGGCGACTACCTGGATCGTCAGAAAAGACATCTTTTGGGAAGGTACAATTTATTCGGCCAAAATGATCTGTAAAGTAAAATCAACTGAGGTATGATACCAAATGTGATTCAATTATAGAGATTGCTTTCGGAACCTTTGAAGGGAAGTGTATTGAAAACTCCCACTTCCTAAGCTTATTAAAGATGATATATGCCTTGTATGGATTACTGAAGCTTATCTGTAACTGTCTTTTCAATGAAAATCTAGTTTTCGTCAGTATTTGAGAGGCATTTAGTTTTCCAAATGCTCGATCATTTTGAAAATTATGCGAAACAGCCTTGCATATTAGTTTTATAACTATCTTCTCGTGTGATCCATAGTTTAGCAGATAGACCGTTGCTAATTCTTCAGCACACGAGAAATATCGAGCATAGAATTAGTTCTCGATGGTCTGCTGTCACTCTTTGAGGGATCCAAGGTAGTATACTGTAGACCTTCAAATGCTAGTATTTATTTTCATTAGCAGCAAAAGTTGCTACGCGTTTTTACTCATTTGTTTGCTTCGATTTTTTTTATTGAGCCAATTGTAAAGATTTCAAATATTTCTCTTGATATGGGTTCAATCTAACAGCGGGAATAATCGATTTTTTGGTATTTCATTCAATTCCACTCAATACCCCCAGCTGAAAATAGCCCTATGATTTTCCGGTTCTCCACCGATGACGTCAAAACCAATGATTGTCACTTACGCATGACCACTCAGCCACGATGCGGTTGTTTTCCTCAGTTGTGCTTGGCGTGGCATTGATTGTGAGGGTGGGAACCCGTTTCTCCCCTTTCCTCATCTTTTTGTTCAACTCGCGCTTCAATGGGACGTAAAAAGACGAGGAGGCATCGACTCGAAATCCCCGTAAGTAGACCATTTTTTACTTTCAAGAGCTTGCAGAGTTTTCGCTCGATTGGGAGGATGTCGGATT